AGATGGAAAGTACGTAGTATGACTGAGTTCTAGAGGCACATGGAGCATCTGCAGATAGGGATTTTGTGTTTCTAAAGAGGAGATCAAAACCTCTTTCTGCAAGAGGTATTACATCTGGATATGTTGCCAGATCTTTAATGATCTTCTCTCCATAAGTATGGAGTCAACAAAAAAAGATGTTAGAAGCAAGGATAAATGGAAAACAAAACTTGAGGAGTTGATATGCTGAAATCTTCCTAAGGATTCCATCAGCGTGAACCTTCTTTTTTGGAAATTAATTCGCCAACTTTTTACAGATTAAGTGACTTAATGCAGATTCTTTCCCATGAACTATTACTAGAATTCAATTTTAATTGCCTTTCCAATAAAGCAGATGTACTGTTTTATCAACAAATGAAATGGAAATATTATAAATTAGATAAATGATAGGTAGATATATGATTCCTAGTCTCTGACTCATTCTCATGGTGTATAAAAACTTAGCAGAGTTGTTTAACCTTCTGTGCAAATGGTGAAGACTTTTTTTTCTCTCAGCTTGTGAAATAAAATTTTGTCTCAGTAACACCTAATTTTTCTACATTAATTCCAAACTCAGACTTTGTCTCTGTTCTAATCAACAGCCTCCTAGCAAATGGTAACAAATCTAGAACTACGAACATGGCTGGCACGCAGAATCCATATAGTTGTGGATTGCTGAATTGATTGTCTAAGATGAATGCTTGCAATTCTCTGGTAGGAGAAGGGGCTTAGGAAAAGAACATCAATCCAAGAAAAGGCTTCTATAATGTAAGCGCTCTTACAGAGGCCAAAGTTCCAAACATTTAACTTTATATAATAAACTATAGCCTGTCTCTATTTTGACTTGCTATGATCATATTAAACTGCATAGTTAGAATGTCTTATTCTATGCATTGTCCAAATGATACTTGGTGAAGCTTAAATAACATCTGGTGGCTATTTTTACTAATTCTTTTGTTAAATCTAGTAATGTGCCATTTTTATATTGTATAGGTCCACTTGTATTAAATGAAAAAAATTGCCTCCAAGTGAATGCATTAGCATGGTGTAGGTGATATTCCTTAGATATAATCTGCCAGCTCTGATCCAGGGCCCTTATGATAATAAGATATTGCTCATCTTGAAGTTTTCCTAGCAAGTAACCATTTTAAATAAATAAAATAAAATTTGAACCCCTGGAAGACTGGACAGTTCTTTCATTGATGGAATTTTTTTAAGTAAAGCATTTATCTCAAAAGTAGAGCCTTTCATATTGTTTAATCTGGAAGCTATTTCTGTTCTGCTCTTTGGAGATTTTTTTATTACAGCTGCCTGCAATGGTTCTTTTAATGGACAAATTTGAGTGTGCATAGCTATTGCTTAGTATTTCTCAGCAGTTGGATATCCCTAGTTGGTGGAAGAAAAAACATGACTTCATTTCATTTGAAATGTATAAATGATGCCAAATTCCTATTTGAAGTTGTTAGACTGTGATTACTAGTAGAACTATAACCTTATTTATGCAAATCATTAGAGTTCATGGTAAGTCTGACATTTACAGAATTAATGAACTAAATAATTATGTGACCTAGTAAGCGAATTGGTAAACCAGAACTATTAATCTTTTAATGAATTCTTTACTATCACTTAAATAATAAATTTTTTTCATAATTTTAAAGGATTATAGTAAAGAAACTTTTGAATAAGAAACCCATTATGTAAAGGAACGTTACTTTTATAAATCCGTCATTATGTCTCTTTTTATTGAATTCATTTCTATTCAGGTTTAGAAAAGTGGCAATTCCTATATTGGTGACTAACAGTCCCCGACTTCAAAGGTTTTTCTTTCCCCCTCACTGAAACAGAGTGTTTAGGGTCATTTACTGCTTAAAAAAAAACACCACAATCTAAAATGAATAATTAGCATACAACTATAATTTCAGAAATCCCTTATTTGATGGTGCGCATCACATGTGTTTCAGAATTTCCAAGCCCTTGTAGGTTAACTAGCACATAAAATAAGGCCTTTGCATTGGTTCTCTTCATTTTTCTATTCTCCACAAATCTTTCTCTTCAAATATCTTAACTTTCCCTTTAAATACCCTTTTTAAAATGAATGTCAAATCACAGCTATTAAAATTACTATTCTGGATGAAAACCAAAATTTAGAACAATAATGAGAGGGAAATAGAAAGATTACATTGGGTCTTCAGTATCCATATTAATTGCTTGAAAAAGAGTAGAGTGAATGATTTTTAAATCATAATTTCCACTAGAAGGAAAATGTTCTAGAGATAGACTAGCAAATGCAGCAACTAAAGTAATATTTTCTACACATATAATAAAAGGTTATTACTGTGTAAATCAAGCAAGTGGTGTTTACTGAACAATTATTATGTGTTTTCATTGTGCTAGGCACAATGAGACTGAAAGAAGAAAGAGAAAATCCAGTCTACAAACTTTGAACAACTATCTTTTAAGTAGGGGAGTCCATTAGTATACACACACATGCACATGCACACATACACACACACACACACACACACACACATGAACACACAAATCAAACTACCTAGAAGAATTAATAATATCTCCAACTATTACACACAAAACTGTGTGACACAATTATATCTCCTATTGCTTTTTAGGCTGAGGGGATGTATCCAAGTAGCTTTAGACAGAAGTCATCTAAGGATTTGGAAACCTTATTGCTGACAGTTGGCAGACTATATTCTGCAACTCTTCCTGATAGGTAGCACCTAGGAAGCCTACACAAAGTATAATAATATTTGTTTAAATGCAGAGCTAAGCTTGTAGTAAAATAAAGGAAATTCTTGGGGTCCAATGACAGAAGAGAATGTCAAACCAGGCAATTAATGAACTTATTCAAAGGGTGCCTCGAGATGGCTCACTCTGGTGACCAATGGACTCTGAAGAAGGGGCCAGTGAGTTGGGCAGGAGGTTGGAACTGAGATCCCCATACTCAATAGGGACCCTGAAAGAGCTAGATACTCACTGAAATTAAGGACAAGAAAAAATCCTCCCCTTGGCAATTGAAGGTGAAAAGTCTCATCTCACTCTAAGTTTGAGTTTTGGTAAAAGCTTGTCCTGACAATGTTGTATCTTTGGGCTCTGAAAATTAAATTGAAATTTTGTGATGAATCTGGGGAATCTCAAGCCAAGAAATAGAATAAAATGTTCCCAGGTTGAGTTCAGGCAAGATACCTAGCCAACACAATAGCAGTCTTCTTGTAATATATTTACCTATAATCCATGTCCTGAAAGAGACTCATAAATGAAATTCTGCTGAATTTGGCTTGCAATGGGAGACATAAAAGGCATAAGTAAATAAAACTCCTTGGATATAGTGAAAATTTAGCTATGAATATCATTAGTGGAAAAGTAATGAGGAAGATCCAGGAAAAAGGAAATCATAGATGACTTTCCAATGTAGGAGGGTAATGAGGTCCTGGTCCTAGACCATTGAGGGTGTAGCATAGAAGAAAGCAAATGGTACAAGTGTCTTTCCTTTTGTAGAACTGGTGGAAAATCTTACATTTTAAAAATAACTCACCAAATCATTGAGAACACCTCTGACCTATTGCTATGTCTAAATATGCCATTACCTTAGTAGTTCTTTTGATCAATGGAAAAGTTCATATTAATGAAATGGCTGGTGATTTGGCAGGTGAATTAAAAAAATATTTGAAACTAATTTTCCTCTGGCTATGTTTTAAACCTGTGACTTGAATATTTTTCTTACTGGTTAGCTTTGCTATTCACTGAGTTAGTGGTTAGCTGGACCATGAGCCAAAGGAAAGACAGGAAAATTATTTGTTAAGGAAATTGAGAGCCAGGTAAATGCACCACTCTGAGGACATGGTTCTCAAACTTACCTATCATGAGATAGGTAAGCTAGATGGTTTGCAGCTACCCAGCCTCCTTGGGCCAGAGCTTAGGACCATCAAATGTGTTCTTCTGATCCTTTTCTATGATCTGTATATTGAAGAATATGAAAATTAGAAGATTTTATCTTGGAGTCAACTGTCCATTGTGACATAATTAAGAGGTGACCCTTGGGAAGTGATTAAACCATGAGCTCTTCACTTTCATAAGTAGGGTTAGTGCCCTCACAAGAGAGACTTGAGTGATCTCCCTTACTCATTCAGTCATATGAAGACCTAATAAGAAGGTCCCACCTTTGAAACAGAGCATTTGTCATGCCCAGACACCAAATCAGCTGGCACTGTGATTTTGAACCACTCAGCCACCACAGCCATGAGCAATAAATTCCTGTTGCTTGTAAGCTATTCAATCTAAGGTGTTATGTTATAGCAGTACAAAGACATCCTTCAAATTTTATTACTTTTGTGACAGTGTGAGTGGAGAAAATCTTATAATACCTAAGCTTAGTGCTTTCCACATAGAATATAGTTAAACTATGTTATATTAATTTGGTATAAACTTCTATTTCTCAAAACTTAAAGAAAAGTCCAGCCCATTAACATAAGGATCCATAAGGGGAAGTTCTTATGAAAAGCAAGATCAGGTAAGACAGCTGACACCCTGACAGGAACCATAATCCAAAGTGGATTTTGTTCTGTGTCCAGCATGAAGTGGAGACTCGATAACGCTCTGTCAAATTTAAAGGAACTTTTCTAGAATATAGTAATGTATTTATTCCACAGAATGCAATTGACTAAACATCAATGCACTCCCTGTTGTTATACTCAGTTTTGGTGGAAGAGCCAACAGAAAACTCAATATCAGATTAGGCTGAACTTGAGAATGGGTTTGGGCTATCCCAGGGATTTCCACCATCTCCTTTGGCTTTCAATAGACTTTAAATTCTGAAATACAATCTGTGATTTCATGCTTGCTCTTCAAGTATTTTCTTCTCACAATATTTTACTCAGATCACAAAACTTTTCAATTTTCTAATTTTTCCTGAATATAGCCATTTATTCTAAGTTCATTGATAAAATAATATTTTTATGTTACAGAGGTCATTGTCATCACAGATGACTTTCACTTGATAACTCTGTCATCAGCCTTGAGCCTTACAGGGAGCACAGTCCAGTTGTGTTTAATGGTTGTTGTATCACTGGGTATGAAGATCACATGACAGACCATATATTGCCATACAAGGATTGAGGCAAGAACTATCAGCAGGTGAGAGAAGACATTGTATAACTTCTCATAGATGAAAATAAATTTTCCATTTCACTGAAAGCAGTATTGAGCAGACATCATAGGATGAGCTATAAAAACATTAATATTAGCAAGTCTACAAACAGGAAAAAATATCTTCAGAAGATCGTCAATCCCATATTTTAAATATATGGTTTTTCAAAACTATGTGGAACTTAGAAATGATTAAACAAATCAATTATGTTTCCACAAGTGCATATGGATGCTTTAGAAGTGTTTGTATTTTCAAGTAGTTTAATAAAATCAGAAGAAAAAATGAAATCTGCCATTTTAAAGATTTAATTTTTAACTATCATTTTAATTTATATACACACAAATTCATAATTTTTAAGGTCAAATCAGTTGTGTCATCTAAGCGTGCTATCATAAACACAATGTTGCTTATGATATGAAGACTTGGAATGAAATTGTAGCTATACCAACAAAATACCAGAAAGAGAAACTTGTGAAACAGTCTTGTAAAAAGAATCCTTAGCATACATAAAACCATATCTATTTGTGGGTACTACCCTGGACCATAGTCTAGAGAACTGTCTTTATGATTAATTCCCATCTCTGAAGCTGAATCGATCATGCAGTGATCTGAATTGATTGTTAAGGTGACTGAAATAACCAAATCAGACAAGGCTTACCAGTGCAAATTGGCTAATTCATCAACACATAAAGATTTCAGGAGAAATGTTAGTGATTGTCACATATCACCAGGAAAAGAATTACCCTGTACTTATCAACTCTGCTGGTCCTATTTTTACTGACACATATTGTATTTTTAAAATAAACACATTTTACATTAGAACTGTAGACTTGATCTCTTTCACAAGAATAAAAATTATATTTAATACTAAATCACCTAGGTTTAAATCCAAAGACTGGCCTTTTTGTGTGTGTCTGAGTTGTCTCTCAGGAAAAGAAAATTGAGGATCATCTAGTCTTTTAATATGACCTCTCATTAGATATTAGAAGGTTTTACAACTTTTGGTCATTCTAAAAAAGACCAAACTCTAATTGCAATGAAATTCTATAATCAATTTCAAGAGACTGTACACAATGTAAAGTAAAATCAACCTGGAAAGATACACTTGTGTTTCTACCCAACCAAATGCTTAATATCATTCTTCAACTCTCAGATTAGAAATACTCATTGGAAAGTCACAAAAAACTTATTGGAAGCTAAATTTCAAGCCTAAAGAAAAATCACTGGTAAATATATGTACTGTATTAGTAAATAGGTGTTCCATGTAATCATGTACAACTTTGAGCCATATTCATGTCTGTATATACATGCATTTTATTCTAATATGTAATTTTTAAAAAAGAAAAAGGATGGGAAACTATGATAATTTAACAAACTCAAAATTAAGAAATCCATGAGTATTTTCTAACTTAAAAAAATGGAAAAATTTGGATTTTGAAGACACAAGTTCACTGGAAATTAGCCTAAACTGAGAGGATGGATTCATGAGAATTCCCCAGAGAGTTTGGCACCAAGTCCATATACTTCTCATTTGGGGAAGTATTGCTCAGTCTCTAATTATGTCACATCACAGAAGTCTCAAGGAATTATTTAAAGTTGAAAGAAAAATTTTGACACAGTGATAAGTTAGCACACCCTAATAAGCATTGTTTGGAGAAGAGCTACTGACACTTGTTTCACTTGTTTTTCAAAAGCAAATACAGTACAATTCAAAATTGCTTCCAACAGCAGCCAACTGCCAACTATTTAGATTGGCTCAGTTCAGCAAATTCTGGGACTCCCCATGCTACTCATGTCTTCAAAAAAAAGCTCTTCAGATTGGCAGTGAGGGAATACTTCCTTTGAACATTTAAGTAATATGTAAAGATAGAAAAAGACATAAATGCTAATAATTAAAAACTAAACGAATAATACCCAATGCAGTATAGTTGAAAAGCATGGCAGATTTTTTACACACCCAGAAAGTGGCAGTCAGATGTGCTTACCCTCTTGAAGTATTCTCCATTTCTGTTAATCTAAGCATTGAGAAGGACAAATATCAACAAGATAAATATCAAGAAAATTCTAGGAAAAATAAATTTGCATTATTAATAAGAAAAGAAAGCTTCTGGAACATTTGTTCAATTCTTCATGTTAGAGTTTAGTTCTACACAGACACTGTCTTGCTAACTTCCTTGTTGTTGAGACATAATACCTAACACTCACAATTTAAAGGAGGAGAGGTTTATTTTGGCTCACAGTTGTTAGGAAATTCAATCCATAGTCTTCTGGCTTAAAGATAGGAAGGTGATGGGAGAGTCTTGCAGAGGAAAGCTGCTCATGTCATGGTGGAGAGGAAAGAGAGCAAAGTGAAGAGATGGAAGGGAGATACACCTGTCCACATGCCCCCAGTAACTGACCCCCAAGTAAGACCTACCTCCAAACAGCACATAAGCTACTGAGTTCATTAATAGATGAATCCACTGATGAATGTAGTGCACTTATGGTCTGATCACCTTCCAAAAGCCCAACCTGTCCACACATGAGATTCTTGGAAGACATTCTAGACCCAAACCATAACAGAGAGTAAAATAAGGGTTGTTTTTTTGGTGGTGGTGGTGGGGGTGACAGAAAGAAAAAAAGGAGAACATCAACATTACATTTCAAACATGGTACTGTATATTATAATTTAGAAAGAGCTTACAAATTGTGACTGAATACTTGAGTTATGATTGGGGATTACAGTATGACATAGGTTATTCTAAAGATAATAGCGGGAAACAGTAAGTTTTTTATTGCTACCTCTTACTGTCAACAGATTTTAAAAACTTGCTCTTTGTGTTTGGTAGTTTATTATTAACCATGATTAAAAGCAAACATCTTCTCTTAACATTTTTATACTGAATTTTTAAAATTTTTATTCCATCATTGGAAATGCTATATTCATTTAGCCATGTACCTAATCCTTAAACCAAAGTCTATACATAATCTGATTTAAAATAATAAAATCAAATTAAGAACTACAATGTTTAACCTCCAAAACTTCACTGAGCATGGCAACTGTGTGAGGCAAGTATAATTTATAAACTTGCTGCCAAGTTATATCAGAGATATTTACTGGGCAAACTTTGGGATGGTTTCTTCTCTAACTAGTCAGTTTTCAGAATGTCCCTGAACATTCTGTAAACAAGGCCATTCCTATCAATGAAAACTCTTCATCATTAGCTCACTTAATGCTTTAATTACCTTTAAAAGTCAGCAAGACAACATATGAATGTTCATACCTTATTAAATAACTCTCCAGATATAGGGCTTTTAATCTCTTCAGAAGGAGGCCAATTTCAATACCATCAAGGCTTCTTATTCAGGTATAGATATGACCTACATAACAATCTCCCTTTGGCCTTTTGGCTATCCAGTAAATATCCTAAGCATAGATTCAAGGATAAATTAATGAAATCAAATCAAGAATGACTGAAAAGGCTTGCTGATATAAATAATCAGAAATAGAAATTCATTAGGAGGCCAGCAAGTAAAGTTTTCAAGGTCAAACCCAGAAAACTTCTTCAATTTCACAGAAAATGATCTTAAACAGAAGGATGACTGCTCAATGTGTTCTGATTAAAGTCACGAGATAGCCATTCATTTATCTTTGTATTCCAGAAAAATATTTCTATCATGTCCAAGGTATCAGATACTGTCTATATAAAAGAAATAAGATTGTCTAGACACACACACACACACACACACACACACACACACAGTGGAGTTATAAGAGCACAGAAACAGACAAGAAGGCAAATGGGTGAAAACAGAGGGGTAAGGAGCCTTAATAAGTAACCAAAGGAGGGGTCTCTAACTCCTCTAACTCCTTTACAGATGAGGTAGTAAAGTTTGCAAAAACATGTGGCAGGATTACTGAAAATGAGTAAAATTAATCAGGCCAGGGGAGAGCAGGGTAAAACAGAGGTGGACAGTAGAGGTGGACGGTAGAGAAAGAAGATTCAGACATCAGTTGTTCGGCTGTGATGTTATTAATGGTTGTAAGCTTTTTGCTGAAAACACTGAAAGGCCAAAGATCAGCATTTTAATAAGAAAGTAAGATCTTTGGATTAAAAAAAAATAACTTTGATTGTTCTATAGAGGATGATGTGAAGCAAAACAGTGGCATCTAGTCCAGAACCAGTGGAGTTCAGTGAGGAGCCAAGAGGTCAAGATTCTAAGAAGTGAGACAGATGGCCAGACAGCTAGTGGTCGGTTTTTAGGACTCTTAGAAAGCCTTGAGGATGACTCTGGCCTTACATTAGTGTACCCAGAGGACCATTGCTCTAGCACAACACCATGATTATTCCGCTTCCCTGGAGCACAGACGTCATGGTGTTCTGATCACCTTTCTAGTGTCACCCTAACAGTCTAGGACCTGGCACACTCTCCTTCCCACTGAGGAACACATCTCCCTGTGTTGACAGGAAAAGTTCCCCATTTCTCTTCCACAGAATTCAAGTCTCATGCTCTGGGATGACTTCTTCACCCTTTCCTCTCCTCTCACCTGGGCTTCCTCTTTACAAAATTTTAAGAAAAAGTCTTGTGGGAAGTCTTTTCGAAGGTCTCTGATGACATTGTAATTTCCCAAACAAGCATCTCTACTCAAAAAGAGTTATACATGCAAGTTCTGGAATCTATCTGGTACTGGGGCTCATGTTCCCTTTATTGTGTGGGGGGTTTTTTTGTTTGTTTTTGTTTTTTTGGTGAAATGTCTCTATCCAGAGGTTGGAACCATACTTGACAAACAGCAGCCATCACAAATCTCCAGACTTCTCAGTATCACAGTATTCCTCATCTTGGTCCCAATCCAAAATCTCCTTCCTAGTCACCAGATGAATTAAAAATTAAATTAGTCTTGCCTAAGGTTTAGTGACATGATTATAACACATCAAGCATTGTGCTAAAAATAGAGTTTTTGTTTTATTTTCACAGTAGCTTTGTGAGGTATGTTTTAGTGAGGTTCAGCAAGGATAAGTTACTCACCTAAAATAAGTCAAGGTAACTCACTTTTGTACTATTTCTCCCTCGTCCCCTGAAATTATTTTTTATTCTTTATTGAAAACACACCTAATACAACATATTCCTTTCTTCTACCATTCCATGGGGATGCTACTTGTATTTATACAGTCATTCATTAAGTTAAATACAATTCAAAAGTTTAGTTCCCTTTTCACTTTTTCAACAAACTTTAACTGGGCATTTTTATTTATTTATTTATTTATTTATTTATTTATTTATTTATTTTTGCTTTGGCTAAGTGTATTATAACTCAAGGATCAAAACAATAAAATAAAATGCCCTGCCATAGAGGAGCTTCCAGAATTGACCCCACCAGAGTAAGGAATTATGGTTTCCAAAGCTCAGCAACAAATGAGGAGACTTCCATATACAGAGTGAAGTGGAGGGTGGGTAATCAATGCCTCAGTTTCCCCCTCCTCTGGCTCCTCAAATATTCACCTTCCTATATACAATATCTCTTCATTTGCTATCTGGCTTTTCCAAAATGTATGTCATTATGATTGTTTAATGGCTTAATAATCACTTAAGGATACCCAATGAATTTGACTAAATATTTGACTTAATGAACAGGTATGATCTTTGGAAAATATCCAAGAGCCCATAGAAAACTATGGAAGAGTGCAGTTCCATTGGTTGCACACATTACAGCTAGAAATTGGGGTTTCTGCAAAGGAATTATCATTTTCCTCTCAGGATTTTGAAGTTACCCCTGTCCATTTATTTCAGAGCAGAAGCCCATCATCAGTGCCCCAGCCATACAGAGCTGTGTCATATGAAGATCTTCAAAAATGCTATTATGGTTAATATTAATGATATAAATGAAAATTACGAATAGTTATAACCGTCCATGCTGCCTCAGGAGAAGAAATTATGCTGAATATCAAAGAAAGTAATTATAAGATTATAGTTTACTTTAAATGAATTTATTCATGTTGTCGTGTATTTGCTTTCTTTCCTTGTGTTTGCACATTGCAGCAGGCTATAGTCCCAAAGTCCAATACTAATAATAAAAAAATAAAATTTAACTCAGCCTTTTACTCATCCGAAGACAAGGTGAGAGAAATTTCTGGAAGAATCAAGGATGGCAAATTAGTACACCAGAAACAAAAATTATTTCTAGGCCATATGCCTGATAGAAAACCACATTTGCACAGCCTTGCTCTGCTTCCATCTGCACATCTGAAAAGACAGTGCCATTTGTTTCTAAGGATTCTCAGATCCCTAGATATTTTCAGATTTATCTTTTATATCTTCCACACTGCCATAAACATCCACAATCCTCTTTTCAAATACTTTCACAGAACAGTCATACTTTTCCTATAAAGGCAGCATTAGGCAGTAAGATATTAAAGAGAGAAGTAAATTAAAAACTAATTTTCAAAATATATTTATTAATAAGGATTCACAGTGGCTGCTAGTTGCTTGTTCATCATCAATTTCCCCTTACTCTTTTCTAAATCACAGAACATGGATGGGTGTATTGTAGATAGGTAAGTTAATTAGATACCTGGTAGGCAGTTAGACAGGGCCAGCCCTCGAGGAGCCAACATGGAGTACAGTCCAGACACATTCACAGAAGGCCAGCATTGTAAGAGAAGAGAAACTACTACACCAGCATGCTTCCCCTAAAAATGAATAGCACTGATTGATATTCTAAATAGGTATCAATCACCTGAGTGGGGGACTAAGATATTAACCCAGCCCCTCCAGGAAAGATCCCTGACCTATCTTTTACCAAAATCCATGTACACTTGCTACCCAACTTGCTTTCCCATTGGATCCCCATTTAATCAATATTACCTAAGCAACTATATTTGCCGTAATCTTATTGTTTGATCAGTTTTGTCCCACCTTGTGATTTCTCATTGGATCAACATTACTTAAGTGATTGTTATTTCTATCTTACTAGTTGACAATAGTCAACCCGCCCCACCTCTTGGCTTTGTCCCATGAAACACCTTTGAGAAGCAGGGTTGGTGGGCAACCCATTTTCAAGTCCCCATTCTGTCTCTCTTAGACAGAAGCTACCCTTCTCTCAATAAATTTTCCTACTCTTAATCTCCATTGTTCCTGGAATTTATTCTTTAATTTTAGAGAACATGAACTCATGTTTCGGATATTTAACACATTTGGGAGTTATATCTATTCCCCATATATCAGGTGGGTGGGGAAAGAGAGCAGAAATGCACTCATGAAAATACTCCAACAGATGTCTCAGCTCCTGGACATGGCTGTGTGAAGTAGCTGTGGTTGAAAACATGTAATCAAACATCTGTTGTATATTCCTAGTTTACCAAAATAAGTGCTTCTCTTTTTCTTTTTCATCTTCCTTCTTGCCTCCAGTGCAGTTGAGGCTCAAGATATGGCAACCTTCTTCTCACCATCGAACAAACACAAGAATGAAAGATGTATGCTAAAGTTAAAGATACAACACCAGAAAGATAGAGCAGGGAATACTGAAGATATCTGATTTCTTGCTATCTTAGTCACTTTGTCATCACTGAGACACAAGACCTGACACCCACAACTTAAAGGAAGAAAAGTATTTTAAATTTTTATTTTTATTAGTCATGTATGCAGTACACAACAACAACACTGATCATAGGAAATTGGTATATGTACATAAAACATTTTAATTCTTATTTTGGCTCCCAGTTTGTAGAGGTTTTGGTCCACAGCCAGCCAGCTGCAGCCCAGAAAGGGAGTGGCAATGGGCTATGAAAGAAAGCTGCTTCTATCATGGTGGCCAGGAAGCAGATAATGAAGGGAGAAACCTCAGAGGACATATGCCCTTCCCAGTGACCCATTTCTTCTGGCCAGGCCCCACCTTCCAGCAGTACACTCAAATTCTGAACCCATCAGTGGAAAAACAAAGCACCACCATGATCCAACCACCTTCTAAAAGACCGAACTTTGAGCACAAGAAGCATTGGGGGACATTCTTGTTCTAAACCATAACCCTTGCTGATGGAGAAAAATAAATCTCTCTTTGTTTAACCCAATATTATTAGTTTCTATTACATGTAGCTGAAACCTACAAGATGTACAGGATAAAAACCAAACTATCAGTATCTTTGTGGTAACAAAACTCCCCCCAGTGTCTGTCATATGTGGATCAAATAACTTTTAAGTCTATTTTAACCATGATCACTGAAGATTTTGTTTTATTTTGTTTTTTCCAGTCATTACCTTTGATTCTGAGAATACAGCCATAATGTATAGCATAATGTGCTTTGTTTGAAAGAAATTGAGCAGCAGAAGAGGTCTTAAGTGGCCAAACCCTGGAGTAGTGAGTCAAATTCTGGGTGGATGGGGAGAGAAGGCTAAGGAAGCCAGTATTCACAAGAACTTGGAGCTCTTGGGGGGGATTATTTATTGTATAGTGTGTACATCACCATGCCCCTGTACACCCTGTAGGTGTTCAGTAAGTGCCCTGGTGGGATGCTTCACAGAAGTTCTTCCAAAAGCAGTTCCCTGACTTATGTCACTCAAAGCATCCTTTAAAGAAGCTTGAATTGGCTTACTAAGCCTGTAGAGACTTACTGACAGTGGAAGCTTCAATAATGTTATCTGAAGTTGAAGTTCTGTAGCTCTCTGCTGCCAAGAGAAGCACATGAAAAACCTCCATCAGTGACCAAAAGGCAGCATCCTTGGGTATGCTGGCCATAGTAGACCAAGGGAAAATGTGATGGACAATGGAGATCACCATGTGAAAATTCCACTGTAATTTAAACACAGGCTCACATGCTTGTCTTCCTAATAGGCACAGGTACAGCAAAACAGGCATTCTAAGGAAAGGCTACCCAGGGTACCAGGGCTAGAGAAGTTCCTTCATTATCTGAGAGCAAATGATGTCACCATGGACATTCAGACAGCCTGACAGAGGGGTCTAGTGATGCTTCAGTTTTCTGTGCTAGTTCTCTCAGGGATGTCACAGTCAAGGGCCCACAGGGTGGATGCCCACCCTGAAGCAAGCAAATCATCTTCTTAAAGTGTGTTGTCTCTTCAATCTGTTTTATTCTGCCTCATTTTTATTTGGGTCTTAGATACAAAAATGTTTTTTCCACTAAATGAAGAACAGTGCAAGTAAATTTTAACTAATATATTACCATGTGATGCGGTAGCATAAAAGGGTGGTACAGGCAGTGGTGAGGTGTTCTTAACCGTCAAAAACCTGCAGCCACCTCACATCTCTGAGGATTGATCCAATGCAGGCCCAGCATCACAGAATATTCTGGCTCTTTTGAGAAAAGCCAAAATTTTTTGAAGTCTCCAAATTTTTGAACATATTTCTGGTCAGATAAAACATGTTTGTGGGTTGAATCCAACACATGAAGTGCCAATTGAAGATTTCATACTTTTAAAATCGAAATGCACTGATAAATTGTGATAAATGCCTACTATAGACAATGTTTATCTTTATAGCTGAATCATTGTTTCTTCCTTTTCTGTTTCCTTCTCAAAGGCACCATCTTCTGCTCCTCTCAACTAGCCTATCATCATCAGTAGTATTGAAGAACTGCCTGTTCAGAATTCTCTACATCAAAGACACTTCTGCAATTTAAAAAATACCCAAGAATCAATGCAGGACTCCACATGCAGAATTGCAAAGGAAAGCGGGGAGTGTGGCTCCTTCCAGCATCTCTCACTTCACACAGCACCTCTTTAGCAATGACTGGTGGTGTTTTATTGGTGGGGATACACATTTCTTGTTTCCCAGCCAAACATATATGCACATCTTTATGGACACCTGCAACAACTGTGATTGTCTAAATAACAACACAAAGGATAAACAGAGACCCCAGGAATGGCAGATAAGGCTCAGTGAATACAAACGAGCTGACACATTTTATATTTGTTTCCTGGGCTGGGTTCCTGTTCAGTTTGAACCCACAGGCAATGTTATGATGGAAAATTCCACAACTGGCACACAACTTACATTCCAATTTGTATCCAAGAATCAATTTCAGCAAATGAAACGAATTAAAACACAGAATCTGAGGGCTGTAACTTCATTCAAAAGTAATAAAAATAATACTTTCTAAGGATGTATTTCTTTAGAGTTTTTGAACATTTTCATATCCATAATTTCATTGATCATCCAGGCAAATTGACACATATAAAGAGTTCATAAGTATAAACAATTCCCCAATACAAATCATAGGTAAAGTCATAACTTTTTAAAAGTATTTTGTAAAATTTGTCTGAAGAAATGCACATTAATTAAAATAATTATCTTAATCATATAGGATTAAGTTTATGATAAAGAAGGCTTCTCAAGTAAGTATACTGCTTTAATCTGTGTTGTTATAAGAAAATACCTGAGATTGTGTACTTCAAAATGGAAAAAGGTTTATTTAGCTCACAGTGCTAGAGATTCAAGATCATGTTGCCAGCATTTGTTCAGCTCTAGTGAGGGCTGCATAGCAGTTTGCATCACAGTGACAGGAGCAATTGTGGATTAAATGAGCAGCACATGCAAAAGATACAAGGAAGAAGCCCAGTTCCCATAACACCCATTCTCAGGGGAACTAATCCAGTCATCAATACTTTCTAAGGATAGAGTCCTCATGGTTGAATTACTATCTATGAATTTCCATTTCTTCACAGTTCCACTACCTCAACACTACTACCCTGGGGAACCAAATTCCAGCACATGACTCTGGGGGATATATTCAAACCATACCTGCACCATAACACAGGGTAGGAGAGTTCAAAAAATGTCTCCACAACTTCTTTGATATTCTGCCTTTCAAGAGAAAGAGCCTAATTCTTGAATTAAGGCTGGACTTAGTAACTCACGTCTAATAAGTGGAATATGGCAGATGTGATAGTATGTTGCTTCTGAGAGGATGCTATTTTATTTTATTTTTTACCCCATTAAGTTTACTTGCATATTCTAGGTATAAAATACATTTACATACCTCATTGGGATCTTCTACCATTACATGAACATCTTGATTCTTATTTTTGTCCCCTTCCCCTGCCTTCTCTTCACCCCCTCCACCCTTCCCTATTTGCAAAGATTTTGCTTCCACTTTTTTCCTTTTCTCATGTTTTCTTTTCCCTTCTTTCCTTTCTCCTACCCTTCCCACTTCTCCTGCTCCTTTAGACATTTACTTCCTATTACACAATATCAATTATACATTTTTAAAATTACATTATCAAGATGTAGGAGACATTACCACAGATTTTACAGAATACAAAAGGATATAGAAAGCATATTTCCAAAATCGGTTTTGAAATAAATTTGACAACTTCTAAGAAGTACCTTGGAAGACAAATTAATGAAACTAACTCTGGAGGAAATATAAAATTTGAATA